TTATATTTTCACTCAATCTCCCTCCAGACTCTCTTTTCTCTTTTCTTCTTTATTTTCAACAGTTTAGATAACTCTATACGATAGATATATATTCTATGGTTACTATTGATTTAATTCTACTCTGTATGCAGAAAAAATATGAGAGTCTATGACTATTTATGTGGATATAGGGAGTGACTGTGCGATAATTTATGGTTAATAATATACCCTTAGTGCACATCTAAGCCTGAGAGACTTTAGTCACCCCATTACTATCTGAGGATATCCACACAGCATCTACCCAGTTTTTATTGCACTTGTTTTTTTCACAAGTATTTCACTATCACTTACACTTTATAGTTTTTTTGTTTTTTATCTATACGCGGCTTAATAAAGGTTATACCCAATAATTATTCTACTATCTTTATGAGATATCTTTTGGTGTAATGGATGTCCAATTTTTCCATCTCTAATGGAACAACCATTTCACTTTAGCTCTTTCCTTTTACTCTAAATTATCGTGTGGGGTTATGCCCCTTGATATCTCTGTAACCCTTTTGGAATTGTGATATGGGCTTTGCCCATTTCTAATATTTCCTCTCTTGTTCTTTTATATATATATACACACACACACATATATATATATATACACACACACACACACATATACACACACACATACACATATATACACACACATATATATATATATAAATTATATCTCAATATATTTCCCAGATCTTAATATTTCAGTGGGGATATAAAATGACAAATATAAAATGCAAATTATTAACATAAAAAGGAGGGCTCTGCCCAACTGAGCTTACATTCTAAGAATAGAAAACAAATTCCTGTCTTTAGAAATGCAAATCACTTCCTAACATTCTGATTTTCCACTAATGACTGTCATTCAACCCCTTCATGACAGATGACAGGCCAGGACTATTCAGATGGAACAGGATCTGCCTAAGCTCTTGTCCTGAAAAAAGGTTAAGCAATAAACCATAACCAAAATGAAAAAGTGATGCCCGTAATATCACTATGTTAATGAGAAATCCACATAGTAAAAATAAAGCATGTTAAAGAAGTACTTGTTGACGAGTGCTTTAGAGGTTACTGGTGTTTGCCGTTTGTTTTTGTTTTTTTAAACAATCTTTAAAAAGATTAGTTAGAAATACAGAAATAAGAACAGTGTTCTTTGTCTTACTTTATAAAAGTGTTGCTTTTTTAATACAAGTAGTTTTACCCTCCAAAGTATCAAACATCTGGGTGAAGGTTCTTGCTCACTCAAAGAAATGTGTTTTTACAGATTCCATGATTTGTGAAGATAAGGAGCAGTGTAATGGTGCCGTGTGGCTACTGCAGCAAATATGCCGTAGGATCCCCAATGCTTCACTTTCAGAAGTAATGTACTTGCCCAGGAGATACTCTATTGTTCAAGTCAAGTTTTTTGTTACACACAGGAACCGGAGAGGAGATCCTCAATCAATAAAATACGAGAGGTGTGTGTAGAGGTGTGTGTGTGTGTGTAGAGGTGTGTGTGTAGAGGTGTGTGTGTGTGTGTGTGTGTAGAGGTGTGTGTGTGTGTAGAGGTGTGTGTGTGTGTAGAGGTGTGTGTGTGTGTGTAGAGGTGTGTAGAGGTGTGTAGAGGTGTGTAGAGGTGTGTAGAGGTGTGTCAGAGAGGAAGAGAAACACTAAGGGGAGGGGTAGGACCACTAATAGTCAGGGAAGGGAGAGGAGAGGTACACTAAGGGCCGGGAGGGGAGAGGAACCCCAAATATTCTTGAAAGCATAAAAAAATAATCTGACTGGCATATATATATATTGTGCCTTTACCACTTAAAAAATATTTGCTAAAAGAAATATTAAATAAACATGTTCAGTAAAATGTAGATTTGTGTAGAAATTGTTCCTTTTTCAAAACGGTAAATGTACAGGATATCAGTAAGTTATCGCCAATCGCCTAAAAATTCACAGACTATGGGTATCGGCTCTAAAAAAAAAAAAAATGTTTTTTAAAATAATTATCGGTTGATCCCTAAATTATTTGTAATGCTGAATTGTTACTGTTTTTTTTTAAAAGGATTGCCTAAAAACCAGAAGAACACAGAGGAGTTTTCTACTAGTACACATCAAGTCAACTTCCTACACACTGTGTACTTTATAGATTGTTTTTTGTTTTTTTAATTCCATGTCTTATTAATGTGGTGATAATAAAGGAGCATGTGATGTCTAGAAGGTTGGAAAGCACAAAATTAACCAAAAGCACAGCAAATAAATTATTAAAACAAAAAAATATATAAAAACAGAAAGTCTAAAAACTCCCTGTGCATTGCAGAGCCAACAGTCTAATGCCCACATTCATAAAAGATAATTAGACAAAGTAGGGACCACGTATTTCTTGAGTATAATATGGTTTTTGACACAAACAGCAGAGCTCAACAGCTTTTGTCTAATGATAACTGATGGGAACAGGTCCATTCTCCCATCAAGTGCAAAAGATGCCTATAGCATATAAAACCATATATGCAAGACCAGATTCTGGTGGGGTTTTCCATAGACCCCTGTATTTGCTAGAGCAGTGGTTCCCAAACCAGTCCTCGGGGACCACCAAAAATCCAGGATTTATGTATTTGCCTGTTTTATTCCAATTGACAAAACCTAGACTGTTGGTGGCTCTTCAGGACTGACTGTCCTCTACTCTAGATACAGACCACGGCTGATATAAGTGGAAATGACATGGGGAAAAAAATTCAAGTTTGTTTAACAATGATTATTACATTTCAGACCTCTTTCTTCTCAGACACCAGTGGAAAGCATAGAACGAACAAGGGCTCAAAATGGAGACTACTTAGTCATATTCAGGACTATACAGGTCTAGTTTTGAATTATATTTCTTTTACAAGTAATGAAAATCAACCTAAATACTGTACCAGTAATACTGGTAAAAAAATAAATATGTAGGTCAAAATATACACAAACTTTATGCTAGCTTCTATTGCCTCTAAGACTTCCACTGCAGTGAATAATTAGAGGAACACAAGCACCATAACAACTACAGTGTGCTGTAGTGGTTATGCTGTTATGATTGCCATGGCAACATCCTGCCCCCCCCCCTCCCTCCCCCGTAATAAAGCAGTTTTAGAATGATTTAACTTATCTGATGTTTGCCAGGCACCACTCCTCGCCTCCACTACCTCAGCCAGAAACTTTCTGTCTGTGCCAAACCCTGCTTAACACAGATTATCTCATTGGGACCAGTTGAGGCTCTCTGCCAATGAGATAGCATGCACTGTGGGCCTTATCACACAGTAGCAAACAGAAGCACTTATGCAGCCTCTCCGGGGGAGGTAGTGGAGCTGTGCTCGTGTACCCCATGTAAAAAGTCAAATTGGCCTAAAAAACATTTGAATACTATTAATGGGGGTGCCAGGATAGGTAGGCATGCTGGAGAGGTTATCATGCATGGAGAGCTCCTTTAAGAATTCATCCATCCAAATGCTTAGTGCATTATCAAACAGTACACGCTTCATGTGCAGCTACACCCCAAGGATTAGAGAATGCCTCACCAAGCATTAAACATGAATCAACTGGCAGCTTGCCATCTCATGTAGCCTTTAGTTCTGTGCTGATGGCATATGTCCCTGCTTAAAATGTGTGTCACCAAAAATAAACTTTATCTAATATGCTCCTACATAGCTCAGTGGGTCTGCATCTCTCCCCCCCACCCCTTTCCATTCTCTAACGACATAAAAGTAGACTACCTTTCCTCATGTATAGCAGTAAAGTTGAGAATGAGTTGAGTTTAAAGGAACACTCATAGGCATTTATTAAAGTTGTTCTAGTGCCTTCGGTGCTAACCCCAAATCCCTTTATTTTAATAACTAGAAGACGGGGAAGTGC